CAGGTATCGGGTCGTAGGGTACCCGATTAAGCAATATTTTGTGACTCGGGCATGATATGAAAATCTAAAAAATTTAACGAGCCGAGTACCCGACACGAAAAATCGAGTATTTTCAAAATAAACACCTGGTATTTTTTAACCGGGTCCGGTCAACCGGTATTTTGGAACACCCCTTCTTACAGTGAACCACTTAGTTGTTCAATGGACATAGTTTTTAATTCATTGAATTCTTCAACAGCAACAACAATGTACTCAAATTTTGAATTTAAAGAACAGAGAATCTTTTCAATTACTCAGATCTTGAGCATTTCTTCTCCACTCCTCTTCAATTGCTCAACTACAATTTATACTCTAGAAAAATAATCAAATATGATCTCTAATTCATTCATGTGAAGTACTTCAAATTCACTTCACAATGTTTATAGATGAATATTCTTCACTGTCTCTTCTCCCTTAAAGGACTTAATAAGAATATTGCACGTTTACTTTGAGGTTGTTACACTGGCCACCTTTCCAAAGGTGTCATCCAAACATTGATGAAGTATCGAGAAAGCATGTTGATCTTTCTTTCGATTCTTTTCTAGAGTATCACTTTGACATTGATTCAAGATTGTTTCATCTTCAAATACCTCATATCTATTAGAAACAATATCCCAAGAACTTTGTGATCCAAGAATTACTTTCACATAAATAGACCAACTATCGTAGTTGTAATTCGTAAGAAGAGGATAATAAAATGAAAGTAAAAGTTTCTCCATAATCTAACTATAATGTCACTTTGCTGGAAAAATGATATTCTTTTATTTTTCGCATTTTGTAATGTGCATTATGGTACGTATTTATAGGACTTATATTCATCATAACTTAAACATAAATTTTATTAATAATTCTCCTATTTAATGAAGTAAGTTTATGAACCAACCAAAGTGTACTTAAACAAGTTTAGTTTTTAACAGTTTTCGTCTCCACAAAATTTTATAAATTTGTCTCCTCTTAAGTTTAAAAAGTTCACTTTTTAACATAAATTTTATAAATTGATGGTAGTATGGAGACACAAAAGAAAAGGATTATAAAATATGATGAACAATGTGTCAGGTCTCTTATCCTCTTTTTCAGTTTTGATATCAGATAGTAGAGTGGCTAGTGTGAATCTTAGAATTGATAGGGATTGAAGATAAGTTGACAGGTGGGTAGATCCAACTTGTTAGATATTATAACTAATCAGTACTGATGGAATTAACAATGATCATATCAAAGAATTGTATTCAAATGGAAGGAATTAGCTCCGAATGAGTCAAAGGATATCTTAAGAAAAACTTCAGAAGTTTTGACTTCTCGAGTAGAAGAGTGCTAGCGGAAATATGCGAAGGTACAACAAAAAATATATAAACAATGCTAGATGGCCGTCTTTTCCAATAAAAATCAGGAGACTTGAGGAGAATATAGCATGACAATTTGATAAATTTTGACAAGCTTCCACTCTCGATGGAACGAATGTTGGTTCATTCAAATAAGCACACATAATACTAGTCTTTAACTCTTCCTTAAAGATACAAACAACCCAAAGAAAAACACTTGAAGAAATAAAAGTAGTACACACTTATTCACTATCAATCCACGAGGAAACTAATTACAACTTCAAAACCACGAAAAAACAGCAAGAAGAGGAGGAATTCGAAAGAGTGATTATGGACATTGGAAGCCGTCGGAACTTTCTTTGAGCAGATGTTGAGAAGCAAGCTGAGGGAAACTGGGATATTAAGGTTGATGCCCAAAACGTTGGCTTTGATAGCTGTTCAAAGACAAGCAGCAGCTTCAAGATCGGCAAGGCCCTGGATAAGGGAGCAGCATGGCTGAACCGGCGGTGAACCAACGGTGGCATTGACCAAACCGAGCACTTCAGCACATACGACTAGTTTAATGGCATTTTTGAGGCATTTGCCTATTGCAGGAGATGGGGAGGGAGTGGGCTTTGGTTTTGGTTTGGGGGAAGGGCAAGAACCACAAGCACTGACTAGAGAGAAGAAGAGAATGTTGAGTGCAAAAAATAGTGCTAGTGATGCTGATCTCTTTGAAGCCATCTCTCAAACCTTGGGAGCTTCTTCACTCAAGTAGAAGTTGAAGAGTAGTATGGTTTAAGGATGGGGAATTTGGAGTGAAGGGAGGGGCTTTTATAGTGTTTCAAGAGGCCATCTCTCAAACATTTGAAGCCATTTCTAATGTTACTATTTAACCTTGTGACATTTTCATCACAAGCCATCGTTACGATTGTTCATTCTGTTTATCTCACTTATTGATGTGTTTGACATGAAATCGAACAATTAAAAGATCATTTTAATATTATTTGTCATGACCTCATTATCCTATTCTCACAATGTATGTTTAATAAGATGTGTAAAGTTGCGCTTTTAAATCATTTAACGATTTCTTTTCGATGATGGATTTATGTCTCTCATTTCTTCAAAATATGACACCTAACGTCAATCAAACAACACGATTTACAGTATATGTCTTAAGAAAACACCAAACCAAAGCATCAACAAGATTAAGTTGCTTGCATCCCAAACTCTAACCATGGGAGAAAATGGGGCCTTGAAATCACTTAGCATAATCAAGCTAATTTTTGAACCAAACGCACAAAATTTAATGTAAAAACATTGTGTTGTGTTCACCGTATTCTAAACAATGACAGATAATACTACAAGTATTTAATTCGTTTCCTTTTATTTTACAAAATATTTAATTTCTCTGTAGGATAGTTACAAAACGTCAACAGCTAACTGCTGAAGACAAAATGGATACAGATTCAGAAGTACATAATTACAAAAATATGCAACCTTCATGTTGATCCTCCGCTATATTTTTTGTTTTGTTTTGGCTGAACTATACTCCAATCTCGACTGCATGATGTCAAGCCATGTTAATCAAAAAGTCACTAAAGAATATCATCTTTCTCTTTTTTCTTTTCTAATTTTTTGCTTCTCTTCTAAATTTACTGAAAACCATTCACATTGAACTTGAATTTCAATATCCCAATAGAGCTTACAGTAAGAAATTGACTGTAATAATGAGCTAATGATCCCAATCCAACACCAAGGAATGGTTTCGAGTTTGGAGGGAACTCCCAATTCTTTCCCTTAAAAGAAAATACCAATGGTCTCATTGAGATTCATCATTAATATTTGTGACGCATGACAATGTAAAATCTGATGTAATTATACAAGTTTAGATGCGTTGATTTCTGCTGTATCCCTTCGTAAGATTAATCTTCGCACATCAAAATTTTTGGAGAATTTTTATGTCATTAAAATTTCAAGAAAATATCTCTAATATAAGGTTTTAAGAGTATTTCGCCTCTTGAAAAGTTGTGATCTCTTGATATGATCTCTAGTGACCCACATGATCTGTTAGAACTAAAACTATTATCGATTGATTGTATCATTTGGACTCGTCAATTTACAAATAGCCATTATGATTCCACACCTGACATCAAAACTAAACCTCTGATCCAAAATCTAGAGAGATATGAACTACTTTCCATATCTTCCTTCTTTCTCCCTTGATAAAGATTAAAGATCTAAACTCCGGTCAACCATCATTAAATTATCAATTATAATTTTTCGTCTAAGTCCTGAGTAAATGGTCTACGACCATCATGACTATTTTAATTTTATTTTAGTCCGTCCTTTATTTTCCTCAAAAAATTTGCAATGTGTTATTGTTTGCTGCAAAAAAACCAGTTTTGCTCCTATAAATTGTGACATTCAAATACAATAAAGTAAAAAAATCTTCAATCATATTATTGTCATGTTGCCAACGGAAGATTAGGTTGAACATCTGGATTGAAGTGTCACGGGTGAGGCTGGAACCCACCAGAAATCATTTGGAATTGTGCCCTCATTTGCAAATAGAATTCCCTCCACAAATAATATATACTACAGAAATTCCATGAAGTCAACATTAGTTATATCTTTAAACCTAAGGCAAGTGAATCAAGACAAGGTTGATTTGTGTTTTTCCACGACTGCGTACTGAGTACTGAAATACAAAACAGGTTGCAGTGGTCGACAATATTGTCACCATATATGGTTCAATATATGACTAGATCATGATAATCTATTACAAACATAAAATGAATACTTTCCTACCCTAGTTTATTCGTATGGATTTCATGGCGAAACATTTTAAGTTCAAATATATTTGAGATAATTAAATTATATTCAAATTAATTTATTGAATTATTATAAAAATAATTATTATTTTTTATAAAATAATAATTACATTTATTAAAATTTTATAATTATTTTATAACTTTTTAAAAGTTTAACAACCAAAATGATCATTTAAGATTAATTTAATAATCTCTTGTATATTTTGTCCAACAATTTATTCAATAATTTAACGTTTTGAGGTGTTTGAATTAGGATTAAAATTTTAAATTTTTAAAAAATATAAAACTAAAATGGATCAAATTAGAGTATAAAATGTATTAAATATAATGTATTTAGGTTTGAGACCTCACTTGATCATTTTTAATTTTTTAATATAAAATATATAAATCAATATTATTATGAGATTTGACCTAGTGGTTAGGGTGTGCCCATTCCCCTTCATTTTGATGACATATCAACATATGACAAGTGGAAACAATCTTATTAAATTAAATAAAGAACGCTATCAAATTCCTCTAATTAAATGATAACACATATCATCTGATTAGAAAATTATATTTATTAGATAAGATAAAAATGATTAAAAAACATAAATACCGAAGACTAATTATAAGATTATACTAATTTTTTAACCATCACATTAATTTCTTTATCAAATGTTAAGAACAAATAGCAATAACATTTAGATACTTAAAATTGATAAAAATTATATTAAATCAATAACCAAATTAGAATTTACTCATAATAAAATGACCATGAAGCACATATTTACGAGATGTCAAGTCAATCTTGTAAAAAGTTGAACATTTGAACCAAAGAACACTGGGTTATTTGTTCAAATTTCAAAATATTTGTTTACGCAACAAACCCTAAGAACCCATTATTTAAGTTCCAAAAGTAAACAAATAAAGAGCAGAGGACACAAGTGAAACAACTTAATATAACTTGCATGGGGATCTACTTATGGTTCTCCACCAAGCTCCACCCGCAGGTTGTCATATGGATATACCTTCGGTGCCTGCTTAACAGTTCAGCATGACAAATATCATTCGCTGTATGCCAGCAAGTAACATACCCTTCACACTGTAACAAACTAAATTCTAACAAGCAGCAGTGTCATTAAGTTTACACCAAATGAAATGTAGATTACTTCTCTCTAATTACGTTTTCACTACTAATAATACACAACATGAGATGCTGAATGATGTATCAGTGAAGAAAGGAATTAAATGCCATATGAAATAAAAAGAAGGATGTGGTAAAGGAATCTTCCAAACAGGTATCACTAAACCACATGCAAGCAGGAAAACTCAATTCTTCTAGTAGAAGCATTATTGTTTAAATTTCTCAATTTCAACTCTCAAGAAGATTTTTGGAATATATTATGAAAAGAAAAATATATAATTGTACAAGTAAACAGTGGTTTTCATTCTTTTACCATAAACTATCTAACGCAACTCCCAAGAACTTTGAAATATCTATTCAAGTGATATGGCAGTGCTAACATATTCTCAAGAATCAAGATATATCCTACAAGGGCTTCTTGAAAATCATGAAATACATTGTCAAGGCTGCCTCAACAATCCAATACATCAAAGAGGGGAAATGCATTTCCGTAAACATTTCCCAATTCATCAGATAAGAAAGCAAGGAAAACCAAGGACAAGGTCTTTATATTGTGAACCTGAGCAAAATTCTTCCTCTCAATTGATGGAGAAAAGGGGCTAGAGTCTTCTACAACGAAATATCTTCCATCCTAAATTGAGTAGTTAAGGTATCCCCCTATTTTGGGATAATAACTCACTTGAACGTGAAGTTAAAAATCAATCAGCAGATGACAAGAGTAACACTATGATACCATTTGGTTTTATCAGTATCCTACATTCCTATTATCCCATTTTGAAACAAATCCAAGAACACCACCAAAGCTACAAACATTAATATTGAAAGAATACATTCAAGAACTACCAAGAAAATTGAAGAACTAAGGCAAAATCAAATAATCAAGTCAGAGATTTGAACTTACGAATGGAATCTTAGAGGCCTTATCATTCCACCAAGCCAATAATCCCAAAGATGCAAAGATGCTCAAACCTCCACACATCCAAGCTAATGCCTCATACTACCCCCAGAAAAAAACGAAGCATAAGAATAAGAATGAAGAAAAAAAAGTCTTCTTTAAATAATCCAAGATCCCACAATCCTTAACAAAAATGAAGGCTAAAAATACAAAATTTTCTTACCTTTCCGACAGTATCAGCGATTCGGTCGATACTAGGTTCTGGAAATGCAGTTCCATTGTCCCACATTAGCTCGTCATTTACAGGAAGCTGAAGAGTCCAAAAGAAGTAAAATTTTAGGGTTTTGGGTTAACTTTTCGTGGCCATTACCTCAAGAACAGCACCTCCTTCAGCCTTTGCCAAAGCGTGTCAATCCTGGTAACTTAGAATTTTCTTCTCAGATCCCAAAATTCTCATTTTCTGATTCCGGGCCCGAGTTGTTTACTAGAAAGAAGCTGCAACAACAATATATGTGGTTTCCTCAGGATTTCCAGTTTGTTCCTCAGCAGATACCGCCGATGGTGGCAAAAGATGAAGTGTTGAGTCCAGGAGACGGAATGGCTCAACAGCAGCAGCATCTGAACCAGTTACACCAGCAACAGCAAGCCACATTGTTCGAACTTCTTTACAAGGCTGCAGAGTTGGTAGGGACTGGAAATTTTTCTACCGCGCAACGGATATTGGCGCGGCTCAATCACCAACTGTCTCCAGTGGGTAAGCACCTTCAAAGGGCTGCTTTCTACTTCAAGGAGGCTTTGCAGTTACTTCAAAATGGGGTCTTACAAGATCTTCTCTGAAGTCTCTCCGGTTATCCAATTTGTAAATTTTACCTGCAACCAGGCTCTTCTTGAAGATCTTGATGGTGCTGATCGAATTCACATTGTGGACTTTGATATTGGATTTGGTGTCCAGTGGGCATCGTTTATGCAGGAGCTTCCCTTGAGGAGTAGAGGATCTGCTTCATTGAGAATTACTGCCGTTGCCTCACCTTCAACCCACCATCCTATGAGCTTGGGCTTATGCGTGACAATCTTACACAATTTGCTAATGAGATTGGTTTAAGTTTTGAGCTTGAGATGCTTAATTTCGATGCTTTAGTTCAAACCCCTTACTCTTTACCCTTGTTTTATTCAAATCGAAACGAGGCGATGGCTGTGAATATTCCGGTTTGGTCTTCTTCGAATCAGCCCTCTGCTTTGCCTAATCTTCTACACTTTGTGAAGCAGCTTTCCCCAAAAATCATGGTGTCTTTAGACCAAGGGTGCGACAGAAATGATCTTCCATTCCGACAGCATATTGTCCATGCGTTTCAGTCATATATAGACCTATTAGAATCACTTGATGCCATTAAGCTGACTTCTGATGCTGTCAACAAGATTGAAAGGTTCCTTCCTGTGCCACGAATTGAAAACACTGTGTTGGGACGACTGAATGCACCTGAGAAAATGCCCCCTTGGAAGACATTTTTATCCTCAGCTGGTTTTGTCCCTGTAACATTCAGTAACTTCTCTGTAACTCAGGCAGAATGTGTAGTAAAGAGGGCTCAAGGAGGGGGTTTCATGCCGAGAATCGACGGACTTCACTCATGCTTTGCTGGCAGCAGAGGGATCTTATCTCAGCATCAGCTTGGAGGTGCCGAGTAGCAGCATCAAACAGGCAGGGGAGCTTTTTTTTCTTTTAGCAACTAACAGTCTATCAACTCTATCCTGTAGTATGACCTAAGTCAAATTAACAAATTCTCCTGCTTTTATGACTAAATGCTTGTTGTCTTTCTTGGGAGTCTCCTCTCCTTGTTGACTGTCTTAATGTTTTGGACATATTGATATTGCTGCTATGTATTCTGATATCTTGATGGGTTTTTTTTAGTGAGGAACTGTACTATCTTCTCGTTAAGGTGGTGATGATTTGTTGTATTTTTTTTTTACAACAAGTGATAGCTAAAATTGCATATTCAACTTTCCAGATTTTGTATATTTATGGGGTATCAAATTGTGTCTTACTGCTCCAAGAACATAGCATACCATACCAGACCAGCTAAGTGTGATTAAAGATGTCCTGTGATGAATTACTTGACAGTCTGTGTTGTGCAACTCATGTATATTTGCTTGACTAGTTCTTGTCTTTTTCCCATAAACTAAAGTTGATATGATACGATTTGCTAAATCTGGGTACTTTCTTAGGACCCTATGGAACTGCAAATATGACCTGTTTTGGATTCCTTTTCAATCGGCTAATTAATTTAAGTTTATCATGATTTACTTTAATAATGGGAAGTTAAAACCTATTTCAGATCGAGGATTTAGGCTTTCTTGGAACATCAATTGAAGTTTGAAAGTTTGAGTTATAAAAGGGTCTCAAATAATTCGATAATTTTAGTAATAAGTAGATTGATTATCAAGTTAAAGTCAAGTCCCTCAACTCTGCATGATATATATATATATATATATATATATATATATATATATATATATATATCGAATATGAAGAAATACATATTTATATCATACTACATGGTTATAGAAAGATGTTTACATTATAATCAATTAAAATTATAACATTATAAATATTTACAATTGAATTTAAACAGAGAGTCAAATAACTCGACTTGAATCAAATTTTTAATAAAATTTGAGTTAAAAATAGGATTCGTTAATTCGATTAATTTAAATTTTTTATTCGATTCAATAGAATACTTCCCCTAGGTATCCCGGATTCTATGCTTTGAACATTAGTAGAAGCAACAATATGAGAAAAACCATTTTTGCTATGGAAGTCTGAGTCGGAAACATTTGATTGGCTACGTAAACAAAAGACACCTAAGATTTGCTCAAATTCTGTTAAACAGTGGTGGCTGGCTTATTGCTTGGTTGTGTGATGAATTCAATGATGAAAGTGGAAGATTCAAAAGTTTGGGGACCAACTTAGAATAAGAGTCATAGTTTGAGGATGAAATTGGAATGTTAACAAGTTTAAGGTCTAATTTAAAATGAGAGTCATAGTTTTAGGATGAAATTTAAAAAAGTTTATAGACTAATTTAAAATAAAGATCATAGTTTGAGGTCATATAATACAATTAACTATACTAAAAAAATACTTAACGTTTGATAAGTTGACCTCAAACTATGATCATTATTTTATGACCTCAAGGAGAATGATGGAGAAGACAAAGGAAATATTTTTTTAGTATAAGACATTGAGACATTGAGACGCCAATCATGGAGAATGATGGAGAAGACAAAGGAAATATTTTTGGGAGTTTGAAGCTTTACTATAAGCATAAGACATTGAGACGCCAATCATGTCATATATCCTTTGATCACGCAAGCTCTTCCTTCTCTTCCATCAACCTAATGTAGTGGACCTAATTTCTAAGATTCGCAACTTCATTTACACATGGAAACAAAAAAACCATTAATATTTCCACGATTCCAATAGGAGTAAACTGTATGCAACAGTCGCAACATAAGCGTTAGTGTGTTGCCATTAATCATTAGTGGGACAAAGCATAGATGCTTTAATTTTATGACACATGAATCAATTTTTTTTAAGAAAAAATATTATCACGATCATATTAAAGACTACAGATGCTATCACAAAATTATATGAAAAATCTCGAAAGCTCATGAAATATTGTGATCAGTTTTTTTTTTTTTTTAAAGTAAATTATAGCGTCGACCACCTAATTATTTAGTCCTTTTAGGTTTACCACCAATCTTTCAATTTTATCAATCAGTTCATCTAACTATTTAATTGTTATCAATCAAGCCACTAACCGAATTGCTTGTCTAGCTCAGTTGGTAGAGCACAAGGTTCTTAACCTTGTGGTCGTGGGATCGAGTCTCATTGAGGGCAATTCATAACGGAGGTCTTTCACGAAAGTTGTTCTCAACCTGTCGTTGGGGGTAGCCTATTACCCTACCTCCCCCTTATCCCATTACATATGAGAATAGGGTCAGTTAATTTTTTTTCAAGCCACTAACCGTCAACAGTCGACGAAAGTATTGACGTGTATGTTAACAAAATTGGTGGTCCTCAATACTTATATATTCTATCAATTTAGTCATGATTTTAATTTAATTTAATAAATTTAATATGCCAATCACGAGGCGGCATTTGTTACCATTAGAGGTGGCAAATGGGTCATTCGGATCGGATTTGGTTCGGGTCATTACGAGTTTAGACTAATTCGGGTTAGATTCAGATCGTATCAGGTCATTTTGAGTTTCGATTTTATTCGAGTCTGTATTAAGTCATGCCGGCTCGGGTATCGAGCCGATTCAATATCAAATCGGTTGATCTTGAGTCGTATCGAATGGATCGTTGATTTTCAGGTTGAGTTAATATCTGATCAATTATTTTCGGTTTGGGTCAACTTTGGATCTGCGGGTCAATTTAGGATAAGTTGAGTATGAGTCAAATCAAGTATATATAGAATTATTAATATATTTTAGTAAAAAATCATGTCTTTTTTTTAAATCTTATCATTTATGTTAAATTTCATTCAAATTCAATTATTATTTAGGGATTATAATTTAATTCAAACTCGACCTATAAGATATGTTAGATTTTATAATTTTTTTATTGATCCCGACTGAAAAGTTTATTTTACAATCTATTCGATTAAAAATAATATAAATTTTATTATTTATTAAAATTTTAAATTAGATACTTAACGTTTAATTATAAATTTAATTTTTTTATTAATAATAATATACTATTTATGTTTGAATAAATATTATTCTAAATATATTTATAAATGATATTATGTTATTATATCACTGATAATATTTTAATTTTTAAATTATAAATAAAATAGACATCTTTTTATTGTAAAATAAATTATTTGTGTAGTATAAAAATAAGTTGTTTTTATATTAAATTTAAATAACTGTATTGTTTTCATATACAAAGGAATTAAAATAATTTGTAAATTAATTTAACAGTTTTTGTATCATATGCTCCTAAACTATAACACTCATTTTAAATTTGTCATTAAACTTTTTAATATTCCAATTTCATCCTTAAACTATGACTCTCATTCTAAATTAGTCCGTAAACTTTTGAACATTCAAATTTCACCCCAAACAATGAATCTCATTCTAAGTTGGTTCTTAAACTTTTAGATCATTCAATTTCATCTCCAAATTCATCCAAATATGTAATCCATTTCATGCATAGTTTAACCTAAATTTTATTTTTTTTCAAACATATAATAATATAACTTGCCTAATGATTTTATTAACAGAGATGTGATTAGTATATACGAATAATTTAGGATAAAATTGAAATATTCAAAAAGT